ATTTACATTACCAGTATTTCTCTTAGTTATGTATCTGATTAAATTGAGAGACACTGAAGGGGAAAATAGTATTTATGGACAGAAGCTCACTCATCTGATTAATGTATTAGGTGTGGAATGAGGTCTCTAAGGAATGTTTTCAAAGAAAGGGAATTATATCGCATGCTCACATAAGTATGTTGTACCAAATCACAGTTTGTAAAAGACAGTTTTACTCAATTTTGAATCTGTAACATATTATTTTACAACTAGTCATAATATTGACTATTTAAAAATTAGAGATTAAAAAATCTTTAAAGATTAATATATATAAAGCTCTTAAAATAATAAAAGAGGAAAAAGGAAAACAAAATAAACAAAATCTGTCTTTTTCAACACTGGTTTATAGACTGACCAGGCAAGTTTTTCTCTTTCTCTAGTCTTTTCCATTTCCTCCCTGACTGCATGCACTGTATGTCAATTGCTTTTACACTCCTCCTCTCTCTTTCTTCATTCTAGGGTTCATGGTATCGAATTTAGACTATTGACGAGGAAGGCAATTTATGTGATGGTTTAGTTGCTAAGTCATGTCCAACTCTTGCAACCCCATGGACTATAGCCCTCCAGGCTCCTCTTTCCCTAGGATTTTCCAGGCAAGGATACTGGAGTGGGTTGCATTTCCTTCTCCAGGGGATCTTCCTGACCAGGGATCAAACCTGGGTCTCCTGCACTGCAGACAGATTCTTTACCAAGCGAGCTACCAGGGAATCCCTGTGATTAAAACCACAAGCTCTGAAGTCAGAATTCCTGTGTTCAATTTCTGGTCTTAGCTCCATAATTTTAGGCAAAGTACCTCACTTTTCTAAGTCTCTGTTTTCCTCTCCATAAAAATGAGGGTAATGACAGTCCATCTGAACACAGTCCATCTGAACACATACAAGTAGAAGTACACTTATACTTCTCATCAAAGTTTTCTAGAGATAAATGATTTAAGGAAGTAAAGGGCTTAACATAGTAAGTGCTCAATTTAAAAAAGCCACTAATATTTACATATTTATATTATTACTTCTGCTGGGAGACAATAAATAGGTTGGTATTCTTCCACAATTCAGTTATGAAATATGTACTTACAGAGGAAAAGACACATAAAAATTATTTATCTTAGATTATGATGAGCTAATACCAAGTATATGTATGAAAACTGAAAATGAATCCAGATATTTTCAAATATCTTAGAGACTAAGTACTAACACTACAATTTTTCTTTGGCATGTTTTATTTGGCATGTTCTCTGTGTGTGTGTGTGTGTGTGTGTGTGTGTGTGTGTGTGTGTATAGGAAGTCAATGCATTCTTATTCAGTAATCCCTTCTTGAGCACCTCTGTGAGCTGTATGTGCATCATGGAACTTAACATATATTATTTCTAATCCTTATTAACCCTCAAGAGAAATCAAATTTATTAGTTTTATTTTACATTTTGGAAAAATAGAGCTTAAGGAGGTAATGCAATTCATCTAACTAAGTTCAGAGGGTTAGTAAGCACTGGGACCACAGGTTTGAAACCTACGCCTTCTTTCCTGAGATCTGGTGTTCTCTTCCACTAGGACACATACTTTGTGAATCTAGGCCTAATGGCCTGAGAAGACTAGTTGATAAGTTCATTCATAGAGATTCAGCATTGTAAATGTTAACAGTTTTTATGTCCAAATTTACTCTTTTTACTGACAAAGTATTTCATTTTAACAAGTATTTTCATGGGTTAGAATTTTTACTCAGATTCATAATAATGCACAATTATACAAATTAGAAAAATGCATAATTGTATACATAAAGATCTTTTATACACTAATAAATGTTTATTCTTCATAATCACCTATGAATAGAATCATATTGGTGAAGCTGGTGATTGCAAGGGATATGTTTGGGCACAATTGACTCTGGCAGATAAACTTTGTTAGTTTAGTCCTATTAAAAATAGAGAAAAATGTCAATGTATGGCAAAAACCACTACAATATTGTAAAGTAATAAGCCTCCAACTAATAAAAGTAACTGGGGGGGGGGGGCACAGAATAAATAATTGTTCAAACCAGAAAAAAAAATAGAGAAAAAGTAGTCCTTTAGAAAAGCCCTGTGGCAAGGAAAGTATCACCATATTTAACATGGTTCATGAGGGAAAAATATTTCCTGCTGTTCAGACAATTGTAAAAGGTCAACCAAACACAATCATAGCAGTTGATTCCAAATGTTGACCTCAGAATGTACGCTCTGCAGGAATGCTAATGGCTCCTACCATAGTGCTTTTGCTTATTTGGATTCCGCTAAAAGCTCCACTTGACAAGCACAATGATGAACTGCACCTTTCCCATCAAGCAACACATGTTTGGATGATAGACAGTTCTGTTAAGGTGGAGATTTGTTTATCTTCCAAGAACCAATTTTTCATCTTACTCTGCAAACCCATGAAGCTGCTTAAAACTCGTATAACTTATTGCTGATAAATGGAACATCAGCTTCAAGATTGACCTCGGGGAAGGGGATACAGGATATAATGACACATCTGTTTTATCAACATAAAACCTCTTTGGTCTTCAAAAGGAGGAATTTTCTGTTCATATTCTAGTACATCTGACTGCACTGAATGAACGATTTTATGCTTCAAAATATGTTTTATTATCTTTTTTGTTATCTATTTTTAATCTATTTTATTATCTTTAAAAAATTAAATTTAAATGAATGAAATATGAATAACTCTATCCTTAACTTATATGTTCACTGTTGAGTATTGTTTTATCCTTGACTTATTAACAACTCTCTCATGATTCTCCATTATAATAATTTCACACAAGACAACAAAATAAATATATCTGGCAGTCAATAAACAGATATTTTTCAAAACTGGGTAACTATTCTTTTTCTCATTGCTCTGGCTGCATCCTTAAAGCCTTGGGCATATTGAATTCATTTAATTTTTGCAATAAATTGTTGTGTGCTTTCAAAAAAGAAAGAACAAGATTGATTTTTTTCAGAAAAGGGGAAGGCCTTCTTATAATTTATGACAATAAGAGAATAGACCCTCCCAGAACACAACTAACTTAAACACTTCAAATTTCATTAGCACCATTGTTCTGGCACTTAAAGATATGCTTCTGCCTCCAGGAGTATCATGTAACATGTAAATGTACATGGAGATATAAACTTTAAAGCTATATCAGTCAGCAAATTAATTATCATTTAAGACCTTAGCAAGATTTAGCGGGCAACTGTTAGAGATAAACTGAAATACATTTCGTGCCAAATCAGAAGTGAGCCTGGCTATGAAAACATTCTTTAAGTGTTGCTTACCTGGTTCTGAGCTCTTTGGACTCAGAATCTTGAATATAATAGTCAAACAGGGATCCCTTTGGTGGAAAATAGATAGAAGATGATCTTAAAGTATTCTTAACTTTGAGATTGTGTGATCATGATACATGATTCATTAAAAACCATTAAATTCACATTGTAAAATGAAATCTAAACATTTTCGTATCATTTAGGGTCCCAGCAGAAAATAAGTGGCATATTCAAAGGAGTAATTAAAGATAATATAGCACAGGCTCGTGGAAACCAACAAATGAAAATGAAGCACCCAGAGGTCAAGAGCAGGAAGCTGTTATCACCCTTAGGTCTGAAGATGCAAGGAGGTGGTGTGTGTTATTGGAACACAACAGGAGTTAAGGCATGGTAGAGCGACAGACAGACAGGAGCTCTGAGTGTCCACATCGAGGAGCAACGCCAGTGCCAAGCCGCAGCCCAGCAGGTGCAGCAGGGAGAGCGTTTCCCTGCCCTCTCATTTCCCTTGCTCTTTATCTCTTGTTGGAGCTTCCTGTTGACCAAAGCCAACCAGGGGTCAGCATGCAAGGGAACTTGGCCACTGCAGGCGCTAGAGGCCAGAAAGCAGAGCCAGAGAGGGTAGAGAATGGGCTGAGGGAGAATGACGAGCACAGCATTTTGCCACAATCCTAATTACCCAGAATGCTAACCTTCAGGAATACCTGAATGCTGTTCCTCACTAAGGACCGGTGGGAGCTCTCTGCTGCTATTCTATTCCTCTGAGTTTCTCTTCTTCAGCACCTGAAAGTTCCCTTCTAGGTTTTTAGTCAGTTCTTGTTCCACTGAATCTGTGCTAGAATATGATGCAGTCCTGAAGCAGGGCTGTTTTTATTTTTTGCAAAATAATCTTTTTTTTTTTTTCCTTTTTCGCTGCTGCTGCTGCTAAGTCACTTCAGTCGTGTCTGACTTTGTGCGACCCCATAGATGGCAGCCCACCAGGCTCCGCCGTCCCTGGGATTCTCCAGGCAAGAACACTGGGGTGGGCTGCCATTGCCTTCTCCGCCTTTTTCGCTAAAGTTTACTTATTATCAAGTCTTGAATAACTGATTTCAATGAAGGATTTTTCCCTTTGACATAATTCTTAACATCCTGCTGCCTAATTTTCCGCATTTTACTGGAAGGGCTTTCATGAGTTTATTGAGCTGTAGAGCTCTCTCCTTAAACTCATTGTCCTGCCCTCCATCTCCTTCTGATAGTTGGTGTTCCACCCACACTGTCAATGAGAAGGCTCTTAAAATTTACGTTAATGAGAGGAGACATGTTCTGATTAGATCAAGCATCACAGTATGAAATAATTGTTTTTAATATGTAACTAAGTTAAACATTTGTCTTCGCCATTCTTCACTGTTCTTTATTTCATTATTCTCCTTCCTTCACCATAGATTTACTTTTTTTTTTTTTTTGGTTTATTTACCTAGAAATCTATGAATTGAAAGTTTGACAGTATGGTATGTAATAAATTGTAACAGGGGTTAGAAGTGTTTAAGATCGTCTTATAGGTTAACAGGTGAATTAAAACTCAGGGCTGATTTAAGTTTGCCGATCTATTTACTACTCCCAAGTAAAAATTTCTCCAAGACAGTGGCATGGTTTTTTTTTTTTTTACAAGTTACATAATTCTAATTATTGCCTCCTTTTTCACTCCACTCAGATCAGAAGCCAGAGCAAAGCCTCCGGGTCTGGGCTCTGTGAGGGGGATGAAGTGGTTTCTATCAATGGCAACCCTTGTGCAGACCTCACCTACCCAGAAGTCATCAAGCTCATGGAGAGCATAACAGACTCTCTCCAAATGCTCGTCAAAAGGTAAAAAGATTTGTTGGAATATTTATTTTCTCTTGAAGCTACATGGCAACGATTACAGCTCCTACTATCACGTAAACTGTTCTCTGCAGGGAAATGAGGGTTCTCTGTATGTCAGTATAAACAGAAAAACCATAGTGTTTGGAAAATGATAATTCTAATCAGCTGAATTTTCTGGTTAATTGAGAATTAACTTGAAAAGTTTGTTTCAAGAACTTTGTTGAAAATCTTAGGTATTTTAGACTACTTCCTTATTAGGAAGCTCAGTATATTGAGCATAATATAATACTTCTAGGTCAAGATTAACTATGATCACTAAATTATAATTCCTAGACTTATAGATTAATTTAAAATGTTTACATGTTAAAATGTTACACTGTGTAATATTTATTTGAATAGAAAGTGGATGCCTAAGAGGAGGAAAAGAACCAAGAAACCCTTAAAAGCAGCCTGATTTGTATTTCAAAAAAACAACAATATTTATATATGGGCAAAAGCTAATGGTTAAAGTTTTTGGACTCTCAATGCAAATGACAATCAAATGCTTGTCAATTTGATCTCTCCAAATGCTATGCTCCTAACCTAATTGCTTAAACATGCAGAAGTCAACCTTAAACATAAAAACAAAACAATCAGGGTCATCACAAAGAAACTACAGCATCAACATTTTCACCATGTACAAATCACAGTTTAGTCCATATTAACCTTGTAAGTGAGGCCCTGACCATGCTAATACAATGAATCCACAAAGGAAATCTAAGGCTTCCTTCACACAGAATTTCAAAAACTTCTAGGAGTTTTGCCTTAACTGTGCAGAAAGACTACATAATAGCACTGTTGGTGGTGGTTGCTAAGTCATGTCTGACTCTTGTGACCTTAGAGTCAGGCTCCTCTTTCCATGGGATTTTCCAGGCAAGAATCCTGAAGTGGGTTGCCATTTCCTTCTCCAGGGGATCTTCCTGACCCAGGGATAAAACTCATGTCTCCTACATTGCAGGCGGATTCTTTACCTCTGAGGGGCTTCCCTGGTGGCTCAGATGGTAAATAATTCACCTGCAATTCAGGAGACCTGGGTTCTATCCCTGGGTAAGAAAGATCCCCTGGAGAAGGGAATGTCAACCTACTCTAGGATTCTTACCTGGGAAATCCCAAGGACAGAGGAGCCTGGCGGGCTACAGTCCATAGGGTCGCAAAGAGTTGACACACAGACTAACACTTTCACTTACTTTCACGGTCTTTACCACTGACTCATCTAGGAAGCCACATACAGCATTACCCCTCTGGTAATCATTCAGTATGATTCCATTTCTATACAAACACGAACTTACTGTGGCCAAAATTTTGAGAAAATAAAGAAATCTCGCAATTCTCTCACAATCCCCCATCTAAACATTTACCCTCAAGTCTAGTGTGTAAGCCACTGAGATCCTACTTATTCGTAAAGCTGCCATTTGCTTTTTCAAGAGATCTCATGGAAACCTTGCCAAGTGTAGTCAAAGTGTTGGCCATTATTGCATTTAAATCTCTGAGGTATTTGAAGTTCTGTCTTTGTAAAGGTTTAATCACATCCAAAATAGGAGAAAAAGCTTTCCTAATTTATTCCCCTTTAGTGTCTTTGCTGATTTAATGAGGTCAGTCTTTTCAGAACACATTTGTAGAGTGGAACATCCCCTACTAGTTCTTGTCTTGATTACTGTCATTGGGAAAGTCCTTGGTGGTTTAAAGCTGAGTCTCAGGTACATATTTACTTTTAAAAGTAAATGGACTAGTTCTCTGCTACTTTTAATAATTGGAATCTTGATTATTATTAAGTATTTTTATTTTTACAAAATAAATAAATAATTGCAGAGATTTTAAATGAAATCTCAAATGAAAATCATCCCCAAAGTAATTATCATCGTCATCACCAGCACCCCTACAAATCTGGATATCTGAACATTGTTTCCTGGAATTAAATATTTCTCTTGCTCATGTAACTGTCATCTGTCCCTAGAGGACAAGTGGGCTCTTACGCAGAGATAGCTGGGTCAGACTATCTTAAAATCTTCAACATTGTCTCTATTATTGTAACTTTTATTTAAATGTTTTATACACACATACACACATATAATTATGACACATAAATTTTGGAATTAAGTACCTATGTGCACTGAATGGAAATGAGCATTTTAAGGTATAAAGCTTTATTTAACCTCTAGGTCTTTTATGATTTTTATTCATGTATATCTCCATTTTATCTTGGCTACCAATAAATGTTAATATTTATCTGACCCATTTGCCTGTATTACAGTCTGTAAGTCTGGAATGAATTCAAACTACTCTCTTCTCAGCTTCATAATTTATTGCTGATATAATTCAAAGTGATTTAATCTACTTTCACCTCAAGGCCTTCCTAAATTATTATTTTTTTTTATTTTTTTCCATTTATTTTTATTCATTGGAGGCTAATTACTTTACAATATTGTAGTGGTTCTTGCCATACATTGACATGAATCAGCCATGGATTTACATGTGTTACCCATCCCGATCCCCCCTCCCACCTCCCTCTCCATCCCATCTCTCTGGGTAATCCCAGTGCACCAGCCCTGAGCACCCATCTCATGCATCCAACCTCGGCTGGTGATCTATTTCACCCTTGATAGTATACTTGTTTCAATGCTGTTCTCTCTGAACATCCCACCCTTGCCTTCTATCACAGAGTCTAAAAGTCTGTCCTATACATCTGTGTCTCTTTTTCTGTCTTGCATATAGGGTTATCGTTACCATCTTTTTAAATTCCATATATATGAGTTAGTATACTGTATTGGTCTTTATCTTTCTGGCTTACTTCACTCTGTATAATGGGCTCCAGTTTCATCCATCTCATTAGAACTGATTCAAATGAATTCTTTTTAATGGCTGAGTAATATTCCATAGTGTATATGTACCACAGCTTCCTTATCCATTTGTCTGCTGATGGGCATCTAGGTTGCTTCCATGTCCTGGCTATTATAAACAGTGCTGCGATGAACATTGGGGTACACGTATCTCTTTCAGATCTGGTTTCCTTGGTGTGTATGCCCAGGAGTAGGATTGCTGGGTCATATGGCAGTTCTATTTCCAGTTGTTTAAGAAATCTCCACACTGTTCTCCATAGTGGCTGTACTAGTTTGCATTCCCACCAACAGTGTAAGAGGGTTCCCTTTTCTCCACACCCTCTCCAGCATTTATTGCTTGTAGACTTTTGGATAGCAGCCATTCTGACTGGTGTGTAATGGTACCTCATTGAGGTTTTGGTTTGCATTTCTCTGATATTGAGTGATGTTGAGCATCTTTTCCTGTGTTTGTTAGCCATCTGTATGTCTTCTTTGGAGAAATGTCTGTTTAGATCTTTGGCCCAGTTTTTGATTGGGTCATTTATTTTTCTGGAATTGAGCTGCAGGAGTTGCTTGTATATTTTTGAAATTAATCCTTTGTCTGTTTCTTCATTTGCTATTATTTTCTCCCATTCTGAAGGCTGTCTTTTCACCTTGTTATAGTTTCCTTTGTTGTGCAAAAGCTTTTAAGTTTCATTAGGTCCCATTTGTTTATTTTTGCTTTTATTTCCAATATTCTGGGAGGTGGGTCATAGAGGATCCTGCTGTGATTTATGTCGGAGAGTGTTTTGTCTATGTTCTCCTCTAGGTGTTTTATAGTTTCTGGTCTTACATTTAGATCTTTAATCCATTTTGAGTTTATTTTTGTGTATGGTGTTAGAAAGTGTTCTAGTTTCATTCTTTTACAAGTGGTTGACCAGTTTTCCCAACACCACTTGTTAAAGAGGTTGTCTTTTTTCTATTGTATATCCTTGCCTCCTTTGTCGAAGATAAGGTGTCTGTAGGTATGTGGATTTATCTCTGGGCTTTCCATTTTGTTCCATTCATCTATATTTCTGTCTTTGTGCCAGTACCATACTGTCTTGATGACTGTGGCTTTGTAGCATAGCCTGAAGTCAGGCAGGTTGATTCCTCTAGTTCCATTCTTCTTTCTCAAGATTGCTTTGGCTGTTCGAGATTTTTTGTATTTCCATACAAATTGTGAAATTATTTGTTCTAGTTCTGTGAAGAATACCGTTGGTAGCTTGATAGGGATTGCATTGAATCTATAGGTTGCTTTGGGTAGTATAGCCATTTTGACAATATTGATACTTCTAATCCATGAACACGGTATATTTCTCCATCTATTTGTGTCCTCTTTGATTTCTTTCATCAGTGTTTTATAGTTTTCTATGTATAGGTCTTTTGTTTCTTTAGGTAGATATACTCCTAAGTATTTTATTCTTTTTGTTGCAGTGGTGAATGGTATCGTTTCCTTAATTTCTCTTTCTGTTTTCTCATTGTTAGTGTATAGGAATGCAAGGGATTTCTGTGTGTTAATTTTATATCCTGCAAATGTACTATATTCCTTGATTAGCTCTAGTAATTTTCTGGTAGAGTCTTTAGGGTTTTCTGTGTAGAGGATCATGTCATCTACAAACAGTGAGAGTTTCACTTCTTCTTCTCCTATCTGGATTCCTTTTATTTCTTTTTCTTCTCTGATTGCTGTAGGCCTTCCTAAATTAAAACTCTGCCCTTTTGAAACTCTCAAATTTCAGTTGCATAGAGTGTATTCGTCACTTCCTATATGAGAAATATTTAATTTGTTTTCATTATGTTTTAAAAATACTATAATGTTGTTTTTTTTTTTTTTTTTGGTGCTATTACCAGGAAGCTCTACAGATTATTTGCACAGAGAAAGCTGCATTTCATTCGATTGTTAGCTTGTGCTTTGTTTATTTTTGTTTTGCCAAATTCAGTGAAAAGCAAAGTCAAGAGTAATTATTTTGAATATTGGTCTTAAATTTTACTACCACATAAATTCTAAGGTGAATTCCTTTGAATAGAATAGAAGTGTGGGCTCACTCCCTTCAATAGATGATCCTGCATTAGTTAGGGTACTTTTGAGGGAAAAAGAATGGGGCTGAGATAGATGCTACTGCTTCTTTAAAAAATTTATAAAAATGAAAGCATCTCCTACAGCTGTTCTGTGAATGATGCTTCTCTTCTAAAAGCAGTTAGAGTTTAAGTTAGAGTTTCATGCAAGAAGTCATTTAACCCTTAACTGACTTTGCTTCTTGCAAACACAAATTTGCAAAACCAGCTGGGAACGGTTAAGGTCAAAATAAGACTGTGGTGAGCAGCTGTGGGCTCCTTACCTGAGCGATTAAGGAACAGTTTGACTTCAGAGATCCTATAAGGAAAATGCTCCAAGTGACAAGTTCAAATAGAGAAGGGGAGACATTTCAGATTATAAATACTCCATGACTCAATGATTCATTGCAGCCTGGAAAGGATTTCTCTTTGCACAAGAGTACTGGGCTGGGGTCCACTTATTACAAAACACATGCCCATTGGAGCTTAAAAAACAGCTTCTATTTCATTCCTTTCAAGAAAGCACAGCCTCTAAAAGGATTACTTGATTTATCTGTATACTTAAATTGCTCTGAAGCTGCTGAATATGTTTATGTAACTTTATAATGTCCAGACTTAACTCAGTCAATGAGACATTACAATGCTTTGTCATATTATAACAAGCATGATTATTTGAAAACACCCCAACAATTACAGATGAAGGGCATCCATATAGCTATAACCTATGCTTTAAAAAAATGAAAAAAAAAAGTGAATTTAGGATGGATTTTGGTTTTATAAACTTTTGTGAGCATTTTTGTTTTGCTTTACAGACAAGTTTATTTGGAAGATCTTTAGATAATAATATAAACATGTTGCCAAGTTCTGTTTTCAAATATGTTGCAGTTGACATTTAAGAGGAAATATTTTTACTGCATTGTGTATTAGACATCATACAAGTGTCAGGAAGTTCTTTGGCAGGTGTAAGACACTCTGATTTAACTGTCTGGACTAATTTTCCTGTGTGCAGACCATCCAGTGGAATAAGTGAAACTTCGATCTCTGAAACTGAAAACAAAAACCAGGAGAATGTCACCCATGAAGGGTACGTGGAAAGTACCACCCTGCAGATTCGGCCAGCCACGAAGAGCCAGTCCAGAGAGTTCTACGTTGTCCCGGTCAAGAGCGGAGCTCCCCTAGCTGAGGAGCAAGCGAGTGGCGCTGGTTTTTCTGGGCGCACTAAAGAAGAAACAGGCCTGGCCTCTTACACGTCTGACTCTGAAAGTGGACGCTTCCCAGAGGAGATTATCTTCAGTGAGAAGGCAGACGCAGGGCGGCCAGGCACTGTGGTTGAGCTGCAACTGTCCCTGTCACAAGAGAGACGCAAGGGCGCGAGAGCCGCTGTCGTGGCTCTCCTGGGGGCAGAAAAATCTAAGTCTCCTGACCCAGAGCCTGATTTACAACACGACGGGCTTGTCCACACAAATTCTGCCCCCACTAGTGAGAAAGAGGACCCTCCTCTGAGGTCCAGCAAGATAATCCAGATCTCCAGTGGCCAGGAGCTGAGCCTGACCCAGGGAAGTGAAGCGGCCGCCCCGGGGCTGCCCCGCCTGGAGGTGATCTTGGACTGCTCTGACAGGCAGAAGACGGAAGGGTGCAGGCTTCAGGCAGCAGAGGGGTGTGTGGCTCCTCCAGTGGAAGGAGGGCCGTCAGAAGCACCTCCTTCTCTGGTATCCTTTGCAGTCTCATCAGAAGGCACAGGGCAGGGAGAAGATCCACGCTCAGAAAGGGATCACAGCAGACCTCACAAGCACAGAGCGCGCCACGCACGTAAGTCCTGCGCTGGGAGCCACTGCTGGGCGGCTGGAAGGGGCTTGGGAGTTAGGGCGTTTTGCTGCTGGTTCGCCTGCCTGGATTTTCTCTTTTTAAGGTTTTTCTTATGTCTCTCATTGGCTTTTTTTTTTTTTTTTTTTAACGCACAAAATAACAAACATGAAATTGTAGAAAACACCAATTTCTGAACTGGAAGTAGTAAGTTTTAACTTCGTAGTAGATTTGAATGTTTTTAATGCATTTTCCTTTATTCCCAAAGACATGAGGACTGTTAAAGAAAATACTAAGTTAATGTGCCTTTTTTGATTTGTCTCATATTCCATGTTAAAATACCATTTGAGAGTCTTTGCAGTCATGTGGACGCTGAGTTTAAATGTCAAAAACTGTTGAGTTTGCTGCGGAGAGGTGTCTTTAAAATACAGGCTTAACCACTGAAATTAAAAGCAGATCCTCATTTTGAAAAAAAAATCATTGTGCAGCATGATGATGCTTGCAGAAGTGAGTTTGATGGACAAGGACATGTGGAATACTGAGCAGTTACATGATCCTCTCCGTTTTGTTAAGTCTTCACTAGACTGCAAAGCATCTCATCTACCTTCTAGACACAGAAGTCAATCCCCAAGGCCATGTGAAGCCATTTAAATGTCTCCCAACTCAAGATATATTTTAAAATCAAGGCCTTTTATGGTGTTTTGTTTTACCCAGGAGAGTGATTATAGAAAGGCAAATGAAGATAGGAATGGCAGTTGGGTTTTATGATATCTATAATTTTCTTTCATGTACTTTTTAAAAACAAATTTGGAATTTCATTTAGGCATTTGAGGAGGTAAAGGTTGACCGTCAAAGGCACTTGAATGTATGAGTGATACATACGCAACAGTAATGATCTTGGTTATTCAAAGTAGTATATTAATTCTCCTAACTATTGTTATTCCTTTTAAAGCATATTTTTAGCATAACCATGTGTAGCTGAACTGACAAGTGCTGTTAATCATTCCTTATACTTTAAGCATCTGTATGCATCTTCACATTTATAGCATATTAAACAAGTGTATTAAGGCAGCACTCACATACTTTACATGTTGGCAGTGAAGTTAGCAACAACTGTGCAACTGTGACTGTCAATTTAATAGTAAGTTGTATAACACTAGTCAAAAAAGGAATTACATTTAGGAATGACCATGCTTTTAACTGTTTTCTCTAAGTAAAATTTGATTACCAGTGAATATCTGTAATTTTGTTATAAAACTATTTTGATTCCATTTTATTTTTAAAAAGTTAACCATTAAGTCTGATTTTTTTCCCCTAGTCACAAACAGAGCTAATTTTCAATAAAAAAAAGTTTTTTTTAAATGTCTGAAATTTTTATTTAACTCTTTTGAGGAATTCAAAAATTATTTGTGAATCATTCTTATTTTTATCATTGATAGTGCTATAAGTTAACTTGCCACAAATTTATTTTTTATAACAATAATAATATTAAATTTTTAAATATAATTTTTTGTTATTCTAAAACTGTCAGGTTCTTATTTTACATGACTTAATTTCTGTATCATTTCTACCTACAGCTGTAAAGGTTACTAGTAATATAATTTAACACTTCCCCAAGATTTACACTTATTCTTGCTGCAACTAAAGTAGTATTATATTTCCAAGACAGCAATGCATTTATAAACAACTTTATCTAGACAACTTTGTAGCTAAAGTTTCTTAAATATAATCACAATAACTTTATACTCTGAATTATTGTTAATTATTGATTCAGTACCTTCAATTATTATTCATTATATTTTTTAATTTATTTTGATTTAGTAGCTGTGAATGCAAAGACTTTGGGGGAATGGCAAACTAAAAAAAAAAAAAAGAAAACCTAAATATTTTAACTCATTATGTTAAAAGATTTAAGTAAACAATATTTTTTTATTTCTCCCTCCCTCCTTTTTAAAATGCTTGGAAATGTTTTATATCAACATTTTATTTTTAAAATATGAAAATGCAAGGTATGTCCTAAGTTGTTTTTGGAAAATATTATGTCCTTAAATTATTTCCATTGTAATTTTAATTATATCCAATTAACTGACATTTATTTTCCAGTGTTTATTGTTAAAGTTTAAGGAGCTATACAGAAACAAGTTATGAGACATATTCTAATCAACATAAAAATGTATTTGTAGAAAAAAATGAAGTGACATATATATGCAAGTTATATCTATATTATATCATCATATATATCAATATAGAAAAGTATACATTTTGAAAGAAGTATACATTGAGGTATACTTCAAAAGTATACATTTTGAAAGAAGAAAGAGAAATGAGTTGGATTGCATCACAATTTAGTACCCAATTGTAAACATGTTTTTTCTGTATTTAGTTTCCCCCAGGAGAGTTGATTTCTGGGTTGCTATGCAGTCTTCCTTGAACTCATCAACTCAATGTAATCTTTGTATTTTCCCTAGGGCTCAGGAGGAGTGAAAGCTTATCAGAAAAGCAGGTGAAAGAAGCAAAATCTAAATGCAAAAGCATTGCCCTCCTTCTGACAGATGCCCCCAACCCCAACTCCAAGGGGGTGTTGATGTTTAAGAAGCGTCGTCGGAGGGCCAGGAAATACACCCTAGTCAGCTACGGGACTGGTGAGCTTGAGCGAGAGGCAGAGGAGGAGGAGGAGGAAGACGGCGACAAGGAGGATCCATGTGAAGTAGCATTTCTGGGCGCGAGCGAATCGGAGGTGGATGAAGAGTTGTTGTCTGACACTGACGACAACACACAAGTTGTGAACTTTGACTGGGATTCTGGTCTAGTGGACATTGAAAAGAAACTGAGCAGAGGGGACAGGATGGAGATGTTGCCAGACACCACCGGCAAGGGGGCCCTCATGTTCGCCAAGAGGAGGGAGAGAATGGATCAGATCACAGCCCAGAAAGAGGAGGAGAGGGTGGCTGGAGGGCCAAGCAGAGAAGCAGATGCCGCCCAAACAGATGGCCTGAGGACCGTGACGTCTTACCAAAGGAAGGAAGAAGCGTCGGTGAGAGCGCAGAGCTCTGTGAGCAGAAGCTACATTGAGGTGAGCCATGGTCTCGGCCACGTGCCCCAACAGAATGGCTTCACTGGGGTGTCTGAGGCAGCAGAGGCTCAGAGGATGATGCCCGTGAACAGAACAGCCAAGCCCTTCCCGGGGTCTGGGAACCAGCCGGCCACTCCCTTCTCTCCCAGCCGAAACGTGACAAGTCCCATCGCTGACTTTCCTGCGCCTCCACCTTACTCTGCAGTCACGCCCCCACCTGAAACCTTCTCCAGAGCAGTGTCGAGTCCAACAGCTGGCCCAGCGCCGCCCCCTCCGTGGCCCCAGCCTGCCCCATGGTCCCAGCCGGCCTTTTACGATTCGTCTGAACGAATAGCTTCCCGGGATGAAAGGATTGCGGTGCCAGCCAAGAGAACGGGGATACTGCAGGAGGCCAAAAGGAGAAGCACGACAAAACCCATGTTCACGTTTAAAGAGCCCAAAGTCAGCCCCAACCCTGAACTCTTGTCACTTCTTCAAAATTCTGAGGGCAAAAAGGGCCCTGGTGCGGGAGCAGATTCCGGACCTGAAGAAGACTACCTCAGTTTAGGAGCAGAGGCTTGTAACTTCATGCAAGGCTCCTCTGCAAAACAGAAGACCCCGCCTCCTGTTGCTCCAAAGCCTGCTGTCAAGTCCTCATCCTCCCAACCAGTAACTCCGGTTTCTCCCGTCTGGTCGCCAGGAGTGGCTCCAACGCAACCTCCTGCCTTCCCCACATCCAACCCGTCACATGGCACCGTGGTCTCCTCCATCAAAATCGCGCAGCCTTCCTACGCTCCCGCCCGGCCTGCAAGTGCTCTGAACCTGGCTGGTCCTTTCAAAGGCCCACAGGCAGCGGTAGCCAGCCGGAACTACACTCCCAAACCAGCAGCTCCCACCCCGACAGTGAACACTGCTCGTGCTGGCGCGGCGGGACCATCCAATGAGCTTCCAGGCATGAGTGGGAAAGGAGCCCAGCTCTTTGCCAAGAGGCAGTCAAGGATGGAGAAGTATGTGGTCGATTCGGACACCGTGCAGGCCCACGCTGCCCGGGCTCAGTCTCCCACCCCGTCGCTCCCGGCCGGTTGGAAGTACTCCTCCAATGTCCGAGCGCCTCCGCCTGTGGCCTACAATCCTATCCACTCCCCCTCCTACCCACCGGCTGCTGTCAAGTCTCAGCCATCAGGCCTCCAGGCCTCCAAGACAGGCAAGAAAAAGGGCAAGAAACCCCTCAATGCGTTGGATGTCATGAAGCACCAGCCCTATCAGCTTAATGCATCCTTGTTTACTTTCCAACCTCCAGATGCGAAGGACGGCCTCCCCGCCAAGCCTTCGGTGAAGGTCAGTTCAGTGCCAGCTGCGAAGCAATCTCTTCCTCCTCGGCCCGTGACCGCCGGCTCACCCACTGATGTGCAAGCCTCTTCTGTGTACTCCATGCCCGCCTATACCTCTCCGCCCTCCTTCTTTGCTGAGGCCACCTCGCCAGCCAGCGCTTCCCCAGTGCCCGTGGCCGTCCCCACCTCTCCAAAGCAGGAATCAGCCTCAACATCTTACTTTGTGGCACCAAGGCCAAAGTTCTCAGCAAAGAAGAGCGGTGTCACAGTTCAGGTGTGGAAACCATCTGTGGTGGAAGAGTAATCTTGTAGCCGAAGCTGAGTGTCCACTTTGCTTGAAACGAATTGTTTGCGGTGTTAACTTGAGTCCCCGAGAATGCCTAGCAAGTCCTCAACTTACTTAATTTCAGATGTCACCTCCCAATCTGGGTCCAAGAAGCAGAATATTTTTAATGAGTCAGAAATCTAACTCAGATTGACTTAAAATATATTTATCTTCTTTGCACACTTAAAAAATATCTGGGAGCACCCCCAAATAGACATGGGCCATTGTATTAAGTAAGAAGGATACTTAGGGTATATGCATTTAGCCACAAGACAGTGATCAGTGTTCTCAGCATTAGGACACAGTCTTTATGTGACAGAACAGCTGTGTTCCTACACTGACAAGGTTCGATTGTAGTGAAAATATAACATGTATTGACTGACATTTCCTTTCTAAGTAGTGCTTTATCTCTATTACTAGTATTAAGGGATAAGAAATTTATTGAGGACAGGGATCAGCTCTGGTCTGTCAACCTCAGCCACCTGTTTGATGTCACAGAGAACTTGGGGATTGTTGGAATGTACATAGTTTAGTAAGGTGGATAAGAAAGAGGGGATTGATAATTATGGAGTACTTATTATCTACCAGGCTCCTTGCCAGATGTTTTATATATATTAGCTCGTTTCAAAGACTTCTTTAAAGTAAACTAGATGGGCAAGAAGGATAATTATTCTTAGAGGTTGATTCCCATCCTCCCTCCCCAATTACTTAAGAAACTAAGTGAGTACATCTCCAATTGCCCATGAAAGCATAAGTTTGTTTTCCTCAGCTGAGGCAAGCGGTAGAGTACATTATAAAGGAGGAACATATAAAAAGGTGAGTAGGCTGCAGATAAAGGCACATGTGTGACCATTGTTTTCCTTTTGGAAATCATGTGATTGGGAGATTGCTGACTCTGGATTACTGAAGGGTTACTGACTCTGGGGGCTGACTGTGAAGCACAAGGAACCCCATGTGTGTGGAGGCCGTACGGTGAGAACACACAGTTATTAGCATCATTTCTGAGTGACCTCACGGATTTTTTTCTTCTCTTTATTTTTTCTTTCTGACCACTGCTTCTCCCACTGTTCCTTGCAATTCTATTCTTGCACCTTCATTTTATTATTTATATTTGATGGACCAGGAGGATTAAGGCAAGGTTACCTTGTAAATTTGGATTGGTCACACACCATGTCATCATCCAGCTGGCTCTGAAGTCAATAATGTTACTGACAGTAAACCTGAAGACCTTTCTCATATCTATTTTAAGTCCAAGTCTGACCAACCATGGAAACTATTCAACATGAATTAATGTAGAGAACCACAAAGCATTTTTGACAACTCCAAGGAAAACGATCTTCTCAATAGAGGAGATATGTCTAGAGACTTCTCATAAAAGCTTGCCTGGTGTGAGGGTACATGGCACCATGTTAATCCTCTGAAAATATCTGTATTCCTGTTCTTTTTCTGCTGTCACTGTCAATCTGCTATATTTTCACTATCCTATTAAAATATTACTATCTTCTTTATCTGTTCAATGTATTTTTTAAAAAAGTCCCTGTATGAGCTGTTCTAAGTCATTTTTTCTGATATTTCACTTATATCACTCTCCGAATATCTGAGTTTCTTTTTTGTGAACATTTCTACTTCTCTGTACATTGCAAAACTGCAAGCCATAGGTATTTCTATGATATAACACAGAGGAGAATTAAGTTAGCTACAGAACAATGGGGCTTATTCTTTGCTTTTTCTCTGGAAAATCTTCTATTGGTTTTGATGGCAATTTACCTAGAGATTAGAACCACAGGATGTAGCTTGGTCTCTTATTTGCCTTTTTGGGAAATCAATTAGGAAGATTCATACAGGATAAAGGAAAAAGCAGTCTATCCATGATATAATACTATTGTTTGTACTACTTGTTCCCTGCAAAGGAAGTCTGTTGAATACTGTGCATTTTGCATTCTTTTCTACTAGAACAACCAAAAAAGGCATCTTAAGGTGAAGCAGGAAAGGAGATCATTTTTATAACTTTGCATTCTTAACATAGCATTTAAAGAATGGCATGAAATAGGGAGAAGACAGTGGAACAGAAGGTGGTCAATTTGAGTCCTCTGGTTCACAAGTGTCCTGGAATGGTCATGGTCCACGAGTATCCCTAGTGGTCCATGGTTGGTGGTACGTAGGAATGGGGAGTGTTTGGGGTCTGTTTCCTGCAGGGCAGGTGGACATCTAAGCAGAGCCACTATTTGGAGTTGATGGCTAAAGACACAACTAACATGGGTGGGACTGTCATGGGGCTCCCAAAAAGCTTCTATGAAGCATGGCAGGTATGCAGTCAAAGCATCCACAACTTCGACTGGGAGCTGCTGACATAGCTCTCATCTGGAACCATACAGTCCCAAATTATGGAAAAGGCAGAGAATCTTCCAGAATTCTATCCACAGCAGAGTCTAACTTCATCTGAGAGATGAGGGCATGGAAGGGAGAAAGACTAAGCCAACTCCCTGGAGAGGAAGAAATTTCTTTGTCTCTTTTCCCCAGTCAGGGAGCCCCTGGGAACTTGCATACAGAATAAGCTGGGTGTATCACCTCTCAGGCTGGAGCTCTGGAAATGATGTCAGTGTGGCAGGTGGGAGACTTGGGACTCATGACCTCAGTTTCCTTCCCACTGGACACCCTTTGAATTCTGGGTGTTGTTGGCTTTTTTTGGTAGCAGATGTTTCAGTTGGTTAGTTGACTGGTTTGAGGGTATGAGGCAGCAGTTTTTGTTTGGTTTTTAGGCTCTTGCCTTTATTCTTGTCCTTTGTTAGCTTAATTTCTGTGCAGAACACCTATTAAGTCAAGTTTTCATCACCAACACAATGGCAACATTCATTACTGAGTGCTTGTGTTATGTTAGGCACCTTATGTACATTATATGGTTTACAGGCACTGGAATATAAAATAAAATGTAACGACAGTCACTGACTTCCTACAAGACCTTATGCAAATTTCTTTCTACCAGTGTCTTCTAGATAGTGCTGACTGCTTTCAGAAAGTGGGTTTCTTAGGGCTACTGAATATTGTCACACAGCTGAATTCTAGCCTGGCAGCAAGAGTCACATCTGAGTTGTCAAGAACAAATGATCTGTGTTTAAAGGGAATGGACTAACTTATGTGGGACCACTGTTTTGTTTAGTTACTAGTTTAAAAAAAACTTTGAAGGCCTCTTTCTGCTGACAGGCATATCATACACTTTGACTGCAGCACTTCCACAGAAGTCTCTTGAGAACACAAAAGACACATAGCTATTAGTGCCTGAGATTGGATTTAATGTTCCAAACAAAAGTCCCTTGCTGTGTATCATTTAATTCAGTTATGAATTCAAGAACCTGCAAGCACCCGTATCCTACGGGTGAATTCCTGAAATCTATTGCTATTTTATGAGTCACCACTGGCCGAGCAGGAAGAATATTTGAAGCCATGGTCATCAAAAAGAAGTGATTGTTTTCTAAAAAGTGAAATGCTTAAAATGCTTCCAGAGGGAAGCAGTGGGCTGTGTTCTCATTCCCTCTTACAATCAGAGTTGTTGAGTTTGTTTTAAAAATTGTTAACAGTTCATGAGAAAAATATGTAAATTCTGAGAACTAATATCATTCCCAGAAGCACTGACCCTTGCTGGTCTCAAGTCCCCTTGTCACTGGACTCTGGGGGACATAAAGACTCATGTAACACTTCGGTGCCACTGAGTTTGTCAACAAGTATTCTGGGAAAAAGCAGAATTGGATTCTTCTGTACACTTCCCACCAGGATTGGCCAAAGGCCATAAAACAAGCTAGTAAATTCCCACAGGACCCAAACACCAGGCAAAACTGCTGAAAGAGGCTAGTCTGAGTTAGAAAGAAAAAGGAAAAAATTACAGACCATCCTGTGGGATAGCAGGCCAATAACAGCCAAAAGCCCCCACGTCAGTTTATCTTTTCCTTGATGTTATCAGGTAGAGCTAATTTCTTAAATTTAAAAAAAAAAAGAATGTTTCCATGGTATGTATATTTTTATACTGAATTACCATTTGGCACTTGGAAATCATAGACCTTACTACTCAGAAGCAACTGAATGAAGAGAAATTTAATTTATAAATATCAAATCCTGTCAGATATTTCTCAGATTCCTGATTTTATCAGAGCTATGCCAGCTAATAAAGTATTTCTTAAGTATAAAAAGTTAGACCTTTACAGGATCCTATAGTTTAAATAGTTGTTATTGATATACAGAATTTCATAATTATTCATTTTTTGGTTTTAAATGTAAAGTTCCTCATGTTTACCTCTGTTTATACCTCATTCTTGACATGTTTATCTAAATTATGTGTGCTTTATGACTTATGAAATACCTTCAGGGTCCCTAATAAAAGTGATTATAAGGACCTACTTTCCAGCCTACACTTCTTCCTCTGTGCTGTGCTTAGTCGCTCAGTCGTGTCTGACTCTTTGCAGCCCCAGGGACTGCAGCCCGCCAGGCTCCTCTGTCCAGAGGGATTCTTCGGGCAAGAACACTGGAGTGGGTTGCCATGCCCTTCTCCAGGGGATCTTCCCAACCCAGGGATCAAACTCAGGTTTTCCACATGCCAGGCAGATTCTTTACAGTCTGAGCTACCAGGGAAGCCCCTTCTTCTTCTACCTGGCAATAGTAATAATAATATTTAAAATAATAACACTCCAATATACATTGGAGGAATCCTGTCTTCATAGCCCCTGCTTCTTAAGCTTCTTGAGAACTATTATTAGTTGTTCATGGAATATAAACACAGATCACAATTAGCTTTAAGTTGAAAAGAAATGCACATTTTGGGAATAAAGAAAATTTTTCTCCTTGGAAATAAATATCAAAAAAAAAATAAGTATTTTAAATTGTTCTTCAGGAGACATTTTAGAAGTCAGAGAGAGTCTTTGATATCTTTAGTTAGTGGAATAATCTGTTCTCAAGACCAT